ACCGGAAACAGGTGGATAATGGCTAGTTTGGTGCGTTAAACGGACAATAGATATCAGTTGTGTTGTATGCGGCTGCAGGGTGGCAAAGGACGAGGACGGGACCGAGATAGGAGATCTAAGTGGGCCATGCCGCGCTACGGTTATGGCGGCATAAAACGTTCCGCTAGTGGTACCGGAGAGGGCAAAACAGTCGACGTTGAGTACCGTAGAGAGAGCCCCTTTACGGCCGAAAAAACTGCCGCTATGATTGTCTATGCAAATTGTTTAAGATATCCCTCGGTCTCTACGAGAGGGGCCCGCAAGCACGCGCGTCGTCTCTTTTTTCTGATTCTCGATCTTTTCCTTTCTTTTTATTTTTATTTTACCCACGTAAGGATACTCTCGGAAGGATGCGCGTACCGCGCCGTTATCGTCTCGATGAGATAATGGAAAACGGAGACAAAGAATGACGGATGAAAAAAAGGATTATAAATAAGCCAACTTTGGGAATGATTTTTTGTCGAACGTGTTAACAGGTCGCTTACCTATCAAATACTTTCTTTCTTTCGTTCTTTCCTACAGCAATATTAATCATGCACGATTGGTTAAAGGAAAAATTTCATCGTTAATCGTTGATCGAATTAAATATTACCCAAGACTAATATGGATGAATTAAAGATCGCGAAGAGATAGGCCGAACGTGTTGAGCCCGTTGAATGAAACGCATTTCATTATCGATCTCGATGTGCACGACTCGATCTCTCTTTCTCTTTTACTCTCGAACCACTGTTGGCCCGCCTTATTCCTTCCTCTCCGTGGCCCGGTAATGGTATTGCCGGTTTGTGGTTTGTATCGGCAGCCTTACCTACCTTAGATAGCTTATTGATTGCCTCGACTGCACTCCGTTCTCCCGTTACACGACAATGTAGAATATACGCTGCTCCGCCTGAAACCGCCTCTGTGTGTTCGCAACTTTATACCGGGTGTAATCCTTATTTTCATTTCATTCTTTCACATACATTATTATCTTTTCATTCATTTTAATCTATTCCCCGTTTGTGTTTTACATATTCGGGTCATTTATGAACATTACTTTCTTCTTTAATAAAATGTCACGCTGAACATAAAATTATCTTTTAAAAATGATGCATAAGTTAATCATATTAATACATTAATTTCACATTTAATTGAATGAATATTCTTTTCTTTTGCTGAAAAAGTAACTTTAACTATTCCAAGTACCAGCAACAATATTATCCAATCCTATTCTGTTATGATATACGATAAATAAGAAAGAAAGAAAGTAAGAAAAGGAAAGAAAAAGAGGAGAAAGGTAGAAAATAAAGAATTGGTAAAGCAACAAATAAATCGTGTTTCATGGAAAAGTCAGTTTTATCGCCCGGAGAGGTTTCTGTATTTGCCACCCGATATATGTGAAACGAAGTAGCATAGAGCACAGAACTGGCAAATGTAATTTCGTAGAATGTTTCCATTGATATAAGAAGAGCAGGAGCTTGTTGGTAGTTGGGAGGAGCGGCTGGGTATATGGAGTAACAGAAAGAGAAAGAGAAAGAAGAAAAAGAAGAAAGAGGAGGAGGAGGAGGAGGAGGAGGAGGAGGTAGAAAATGGAAGAACGGAAGGAGGTGGCGGAAGGAGGAGCAAAGTCGCAGGAAACTGCAAGCTAGACGGATATATCTCCCGAGTAAATTAAAATGGATTATATATGTCGACTCCATCTTCAATCTTTATTCTTTCCAGCTACGGCTCGCAACCCCCTCGGGGCTTTGGTTTATTGCCCGCGGCCTCCTGCACCCCGCGGGTAATTGTTATTGCTCAGAAATGAATGTGCAGTTTTCTTCCTCTCTCTCTCTCTCTTAAAGGCTCGAACGAATCCCGGTACAAACGGGAACGTATTCTTCTCTCTACGTCTTTTTTCTTTTTTTTTTATAGATTTTCTAATACTTTTCTAAAACTCAATATATTTTCCATCGTAAATTAAAACTTAAGATAATTTCTCAACTAACCATATAATTATACATTTACTTGGATAATTATCGGTCAACGATCTAACCAACGTTGAATTACTAAAGTCAAGCAACGTGAGTACGGTTAATAAAACGGATGGATGACTGGTTTGAAAAAAAAAGAAAGGTGTGCTGTTGATACCACAGAAGGTGTTCGTAAAGAAGTTGCTCGAGAACTGGTAAAAAAAAAGAAATAATGAAAATAATAACACACGCGCAATTATACAATTATCAGTAATTGAATAGTTATAGTAATTACTGAATTACAAAAAAATAAATAGAAGATCGAGGTAGAAAAAAAAAGTCATCATCATTACGCAATTCGGCGATGATCGATTAAAGTCTGTTAATAAATTTTTGGAAAGGACTAGCAAAGAGAAGTACACGAGAGATCGAGTCAAGCATGATATATGCTCCTCTTCCGTCTAATTAAACTTAGAGAACGTTGTCGTAGAGTTGCTTGCTACGTTCCTTGCTACGTTGCTTGATACGTTGCTTCGTTGGACCGACGTTGTACTGCGAAGGATGCTCCTCCTCATAGGATAGCTTTCAAAATGACAAGCGAACTACTCGTTGGAAAGTAAAGGAGCCTATAAAAGATGTTCACGAGTGCCAACGAGACACAAAGTTACATACATACATATGTATAGATGTAATACATGTATATATATATTATATATAGTAATTCTAAATATAGATAGACATATACATATATATATAGGATTAAAAGGAGGAAGAAAACGTAGCTTGTTACTGTCACGATACAAATTCATTTTTCGAATCTAATAATTATCGCTCCGATGATTCCGATCACGCTAGGAAAGCAATGTAATTCTTGAAAGAGCTTAGAAAGTTTATCAAGCTGGTAGTTTTCATGCTCCAACGAATACGCGGAACGTTTATATATGTACAAGACTTTTAGCGAATAACCGAACATATTGATTCACTATAGCTCATTATTCAAATTATCGGCCATATTTCTTTTTTTTTCCTTTCTTTTCCTTCTTATTTCTTCTTTCTTCTTCTTCTTCTTCTTCTTCTTCGCTTATCGATTAACAACTTCCTCGTTTTCTCTCGAGCAATCTACTTTCGTTAACGTTCCGCATTAATATAAAACGTTTAGGTACAAGTAACGTTCACTTTCGATCAGTGAAACGGAATTTCTTGATGATAGTTGTTCCCTCGATCGCGTGCACTTTATCCTACTTCGTGTAATATTCTAAGCCGAGCGGAAATACGCATATAACTCAAGTTAAAACTTTTCTAAAAAAGCGTACGAAAAAAAGGAAACGTAGTAAAAAAAGTTCTGATTACTCGGCAAGGATTTGGAAATATAAATTTGGAATAACGTTTAATCGTTCGTAATAAACAGCGAGATGAATGCGTCGCTGGTGAATCTAGCATAATAAAAAACGTATCCCGAAGTATCTAAGAGTCGAGTGGTTTGCCAAACATGTATAATCATAAAATCGATGATACTCGAACTACTATTAGGAAGAATCGTGAATCTGTAAGAAACAATTTTCTAATTTAGGTATAGGTAAAGATTAAAAGAGAGAGTATATCGAATGGTGTCTATCGTTGAAAGGATAGAGGAAGGCACAGATCACGTCTAGGGACACTTTGAAACGCGTACATCGAGAGTCCCGATGCAGGGCATGGCTTACACTAAAATCCTTTTAACTTGGACCATCCTGCCATTCGGAAGCCGTTAACAACGCGAAAGCTCTCGGCGACGCGATTAACCGAGAGAACCGAAGTAGCAACACCAATAGCAACAGCAACAGCAGTGATCGCAACCAGTGCTCGCGTTATGCCACCAGTAGCAGCGGGCTGCTCGTCTTTTCACGAGGGCGATACCGTCATCGTGCAAACAGCGTATATGCATTAAACCGTGAACCCACTATCCACGCCGTCATATCCAATACAGGTTGTGCGTTGCGGGGGTCGCAGGAGTCTCGGAGGGTGAGTGAGTGAGTGAGCGAGAGAGAGAGAGGAAAGGTGGTGCATATATAGGGTGCTTTCGAGGGTGTCTGCCAAGCCACCCCTACGCCTCCTACCCTCGTGCGGTAATGGCATTAACCGAGCTGCAATATGATTACCGCTCTCGCAAGGTAACTTGATCATACCCGAAATCTATGGGGTGTCCGGATAGAACGTTTCAGAGACAGACAGAGATAGACGGAATACTATGACGGGAATATAAAAAAAAAAGAAGGTGTCGTTCTAGCCTCGAGAAAACGTTCACACAATTGTCTTTCATTTTCCCTTCTCTTTTTTTCTCCTCCCCCCTCTTAATCGTAGTGTACGCTTTTTGCAGCTCGGATTACCCGTAAATCATTAGACGATGGAACAACCCCAACTAGAATCGACGTTCCTTATCCGGGCATTAGGAGATTACTCTTTGCTCAAGCTCGTTTCTTTCCACTTAAGTTTTCTTCTCTCTTCCTTTTTTCCTTCTATTCTTTCACTTTATCTTTCTCTCTCTTTCTCTCTCTTTTTTCGTTTTATACGAAAATTCTTTAGAAAATACTTAGAGCGTACCACAGGAGTATTCGTACTATCATTGTACATTTTAAATAATTAATATTTGCTATATTACTAAAATAGATTTGTGCGTAAAAGAATTTAAAAAATTTTCATTACAACTCCATAAAGAATGATTTCAAATTTACAGTTAGACGACGCGTACGAATATTTCTATGACACATTGTATACGGATTTATTTATGCTTGCTAATTCGCCGTGATTACTTTGCGACGACGACGACGTGAATAAGAAAAAGAAAAAGAAAAGAAAAACCACGAGAAAACGATAGGTGCTAATGAAGACGACGAAAAGTAGAAAGAGTTAAACATTGTTATTATCGTCGGTACGTTGACATATTGCGAAAGAAGAACGTCGTCGTTGTCGTTGTCATCGTCGTCGTTGTCGTAGTCGTTAGGGTTTCTAGAAACGAAAGATAAACGTAAGGGAGTGAAATTAAAAAAGACTTACCGTGAGGTGTTGAAACAGCCACGCCCTGAGAATGTTGGTCGCGACTTTTGGGAAGATTCCTCTCTTCTTCTGATTCTTCTTACCCGAGGAATCGTCGTCTTCCTCGCCCGTCCCCTCGCCGCTACCGATACTCGCGTTGCTCGCGTCACCTGTGTAACAACAAAATTAATTCAATTTAATAAACGAATATAATATCAAAGATAGAAGAGAAAATGATGAAAATTCATTTTAAACCCGCACGTTTAAAACGAACGATCCGCTTCTTACGACAGCTAAACACCGACTGTTCATTTAACTGTCATTAGAATAAAAACATGCGCTTATTTCGAGTATATATTTTCTATTTAAATCTTCATTAATTTTGTAAAAAATATTTTTATATTATTATGCTCCATGAATATATATATATTATTTTTTTATTATATGGACTGATTACTGGACATACGCTTTTCTTTTCTTTTCTGTTCTCTTCTCTTCTAATTCTGAACGCGCTGCTTAGGGCTTTAAAAGACCGTTCTGCCTAGTTCCCCAGCCAACCGTTCAAGCGTCGCTACTATCTATCGCGCCTAACCTCTCTTTGATAGATCTTCAATTAATTATTTTTCTCTCGTTGATGCATGATTGTAGAAACATGTTACAAAGAAAACTTCCAATCCGGGCTGAATACCCAATTTTAGGATTCGTGAAAAAATTGGGCCTTTGGACTGACTGAACCTGGGACTCGAACCCGAATTTTTCGCTTCCCGGACTTTTTCGACTGCTCCTTACCCACTCAGCTATCTAGGGCAATCTCTTCACGAATGCATATTCAAGTATTTGGCATGGAGGCGCTCGTCCCACATATTTATCTTTATTACTATGAATTTTTTTATATTTTAATTAATTTCTTTATTTATATTTATATTATTTTATTTGTTAGTATTATATCGAATCGATCCAAAGACTAAATATAAAAATTCGAGAATGATTTTAAGCCGCGTCCGCGATTTTCGATAGAAGGAAGAAAGAGAGAGAGAGAGAGAGGAGGGTGTATGAATGTATACCATGGGCGATAACTAGCTTTGCCTCCATTTCGAACGACAGTTCCCATGCATACAAACACCATTAAGCCACCCGCAATATTCCGGTTTCCCCTTTTGCTTGGTGCACACATACATAGATATATACCGAGGCTCCAGATCCTTCCAACAACAACAACGATGACGACGACTACTACGACGACTATTACAACGACCCTTCCATATCCTCCTTCATATAAAACCCCCCCGTTCACAACGCATTAATTCCCCGTCATTTATCAATCTTAGCTTTTTAATTGCACGTGACTCTCGGTCACTGGGGACCATCGTAATGAAGAACATTAAGACGGCTTACGGGTCACGCTTTCACGAACACTCTGTAAGAAATTGACGAGATCGTGTTAGAAATAATAAGTTTTTTAGTATTTTACAAATGCATACGAATGAAATACAGTCAACAAATTTAAATGATTCTAATGTGTTAAAGATTAAATGAAATTTAGAATGCGAAAAGAAATTCTTACGATTTGTAGAATTTTTTGATTTTCTTTCTAATACGGAATCGTTTGGAAAAAGGAAAACGCGTTACGCTACTTACGCCGACGGATTATAAATGACCGAGCTTTATCGTAGTGCCCAAGGCTCTACGAAGGTTCTATCGTAACAGAGAGATCAGGGTTAGCACGCTTCTCTCAGGGGGTTCAGGATGACAGGTCGCCCGGGGGTGCCTCCGTGTCCTCCCTTCCTCCCTTCCTCCCTGCTTTTCTACCTCCCCCTCGTCACCACACCGTGACCACCACCAGCACCAACACCACCAATACCAGTAACCTTTCAAAAGATCGTTCTCCTGCCCGAGATTAACTTTGAATTCGACGTACGGACCGAAGGGAAACTGGAGGGACGAAAAATTTGTCCGTCGTAGGAACGGACGGACCGGAACGACGGGAGATCGATGGAAATCGCTCCCGGAATACGATGCGTCTCTTTCTTTTTTTTACTTTACTTTACTTCGGGGAAGTGGAGGTGGGGTATGTAGAGAAAATGAGAAAATTTCAATCGATTCTAAAATCTCCGTTTCAACGTTCTCCTATCGAAATAAAAAAAAACAAATGAAAAAACATTTCGATACGTGCTTAAAAGTTTACATTATTTTTCGTATCGTTGCATTAATTTTACAAGTAAAGTCATTTTGTGAGAAAATTTTTTTTAGATTACGGAACGTAGCCAGAGCCGATGCAATTTATCCGCAGGAAGAGAGGGGAAGAAGACAACAGTAACAACCTCGAGAAAACAATTACTATCTTTTCGGTTGATCTCGAGTAACAGAAGAGCATCCAGGACCTCCCGGCGACGTCTTCTTCTTCTTCTTCTTCTTCTTCTTTAGCGATCTCCTTCGCGTCGCTTGTTTTCATTCGCCGGACAAGAAGCAAAATCAAGAGAGAAATAAAGAGAGAGAGAGAGAACAAAAACGCGGCTACATCGTTGTCCCCGGTCCTTCGATGGTGGCTCCGTAATGGCGAGTAGTCCCGAGTAGAAAATGGATAGAACGGTCTGCTGCGATGTAACTAGTGAACACGAGAGAGAGAGACAAATACAAAGACAAAGGGAAAGAGAGAGAGAGAGAGAGAGAGAGAGAGAAAGAGAGAGAGTGCTTGGAACGAGCGATGCGACTGGCCAGCGGAATAACGGAATGGTTAGTGGGAGCGTCCCTCTGATTGCAGTTAATTTACTCGACGAATCGGGTTAATGTAGCGTACAGACCGTATCGTGCGGCACCGTATACGAGCATAGACGTACCGGTAAAGAGGGTTTATCTCATTTATTCGACGATTGTCATCGCTGTAATGCCCGATTTCAAAACTGTCACCGGCCTCTCTCGCTAACGCCAACCAACAAACGTATACGCGATATCGAAATAATATATGTATGTATATGTACCGTATCATTGTCGTGAGAAAAAAAAATAGAAAGGTATAGGAATGAAGAGGGCAGGGGAAGAAGGAACAGGGAAAATGGAATTGGTAATTTCGTCGAAATTCAACTTAAAAAGGTAAAATCGTTGTTGTTTAAAAACAATACAAGTAATTCAGACACGATTTAGTTATTCTAGAATCAAGCCCACCCATACGTTGTCATCGATAAACCATAGTCGTTTGTAAAGTAAATCAACCTTAAACAATAAATATCGTCCATTGATTTCCCATAATAAAAAAAGGAAAGGAACTCGTGGGACAACCTAATATATGTTTGTACGGATTAGTCAAAGTAGATCAGCTCATTTAATACACTTGTCTTAAACCACCTACGTTCTGTCTATCCTGAGAATAAGTAAAAGGTAACAGTAAAACGTCTGGTGTGTCTTATAGAATATTCCAAAAGAAAATTGTCAGTAAGGTGCGCGTAGGTCGTCATCGGTTTGCGATCCGATGAATGTTCATTGGCGCGTGCACTAAGCGCGAGTAGGTTACATTTACGAGGATGCGCATCGAGTTGGAAGGGCAACAACAACGACTAAAGAGAAAGAGAAAAAAGGAGAGAGAGAGAGAGGATGGTAGCTGAGCGTAGCCATATCGTCCTCGACTTGATTTATGCACCGCACGCACCATTTTTACTGTCGCTTTATAGAGATTTAAGTGCGGCCAATTATACGTTTACGCCGAGTCCGTGAAATGTGAGTAAAAGATGGTGAATGACTAAGGGAGGATTCAAAGGAAGAAGGGGGAAAAAAAAGGAGAGAGAGAGGAGACTTGTTTTCCCGTTCTTTTTTCTGCTTCTATATTAATACTTCTATTTAATATCATTATCATCATGGTTCACGGATGACGAGAGACCAACTTGAATGTTGGTCGGAGGCCGGGCTTATAACGCTTCATGACGCTTCTTCTTTCGTTTCTTTCTTCGAAATGTCTCGGCTATACTTAGCGAACGGGATCGAGAATAAGCCGAGCCTATTTCCAGAACGCCTCGACCCATCGTGCTACTCCGTCATTCCGAAAAACGAGAGATAGAGAGAGATAGATACAAAACGGGAAAGAGATTTAGAGAGAGGGAAAGAGATGTTACAAGACCTACGACTGAAGGTACGACAAAAAGAGAGACGTCCTTAACCTAAGGACGTTTCTAAAACTTGTCGAAAGAGAGAGAAAGATTTACGACGCGTTAAAATCGAAATTCGAGAAATCACGGAAAGGGAAATGAAGATGAATAGTATATCTCGCAAAGAATCGATAGTTATCTCGTTGGAAATTCTGGATTATGGTTTCGTTCGATCGTCGACCCCACGAGATAAAAAAAAAACAAGAAAAAAAAGAAAGAGAGAGAGGATGCCACGCGATAAATCGAGGCACCGCCGATGATCTTGCGCGCGTGCACGAGCGAGCGAGCGAGCAAGCTAAAACGTCAAGCGAAAATGTCTTCCTCGAAGGCGAGGCTTCTGGCTCTATTTAGGGTGACCAGCATGCAACGTCGAAATAACACGCGCATATGGCTGCCGAAAATAAACTCCTCCTTATTCCATCCTCCGTCGAAGAACCGAGGACCGCCGACTATCTTTTCCACCTTCTCCTCCTCCTATTTCTTCTCTTTCTCTCCTTTTTCACCTCCATCTTACGTCTCATCGTTCCACTTCTTCAGCATTTCGAGATACGTTCTTCTCTTCTTCTTCTTCTTCTTCTTCTTCTTGAAGACGAGAAAATGACAGGGAGACATTTATTTGCCAACTCGGTCTTTCTACCCCTACGTCACAGATACACAGCAGACATGTACATTCGTGAAAGAGAAGGGGAGAGTATTCTATGTTACCCTCCTCCTTCTTCCTTCCTCCTCTTTCTCTTTGAGTATCGCTTTTCACGGTCACGAGATCTTACGATATCGAACTCTATATCTTGACTCGGTGCAGGTTATCTGTTTGCTAAGTACTATGCATCTCCCTAGTCGATATAATTGTTCGAAACTTGATATACCTTTTTGTGACGAAGAATAAAGTATTAAGTATCACCAAAATTATCTGGCTAATTTTTCTTTAGAAAATTTCAAGACAATACACTATCGCATACATAAATCGTTACAAACTTTTTTACAATTTCAACGTATTCTAATTTGTTTGATCGATATCAACATGAATTGTCGAA